GTGGAGATAGTTTGATTCTTTAGAAATGACATAGGCTAATACACAAACCGCGATAACCGTCAAACACGCGGGGGGAGCCGAGGGCAAAAGTTGGTCAGCTATAGAATTCACAATTATCTCCAGGTCTAGTAGTTATTTTTATCATTAGGTCTAGTATAAATTTAAACCTATCATGATATAAAAGTCTATACAATTCCAGTTCTAATTATAGGTACTGGTAATTAAAATAACACAAGATATTCAAAACGGTTAAACAGACCCAGAATAATAACTTTTTACTCAAACGTCTGCTGAGTTCTGAAGACATTTTAAAAATATTGTATGCTCACTGAATCACACAGAACGGGTAATTGAAAACACTATTCGCTGCGAGTGACTTTCACAACAACGTCAATTAGTGGTCTATTCTACTTTCTACAGAGATTTAATGAATAATATTGTATAAAATATATTTTATTGTGTTATTTCCAGTTTGTAATTCTCTCGTAACTAACACGTAACGAAGCAATGAAAACTTAAATAGAATTCAAAGCAACTCTTATGAATGCTATTTTACGGATTCTGTGCCACCAAAAAAAAGGAACCCTTATATGGTCATAACATTGTCCGTCTGCCTATTAGGGTGAAATTAATTTCATATATGACTGGAGATACTTGATGCTTTAAAAAAATCAATTTTTAAATCGAAGCCCAGGCAAATTAACTGAGACCTATGTCAAGGTAGAGGGGAGGACTCGGGAGGATTTTGAGGTAGGCAAAGTTAGGCTTAAAGTAAGTTACTTGGCAAAATCGGGCACTTTTTATTTGAAAATTGATTTGGAAGATTGGATGAACTATATGTATCCGCGTGCGCCAGATCTTTACCAGACAACATGTACTGTTAAAAATAGAAACAGAAGCTAAAACTAAGGCAATAAATATGTAGTTTTACAAAACTACTTTTTTATTTAATTTCATTTATGCCTTTTAAAAACAAAAAGTCTTAACTAAATTTTCATGTAAGGAGTATTTCATTATCTATTAAACACAATTTGTTTTACTACACTATCATTTTTAATTTCTAAAATATTCAGGTACCTTTTTGTGAACCAGTTTTATTGCTCTCAAATGTATTTAACATAATTAGTAAAAAAGTATTTAAAATGAATACCTAATTAAAATTATCACGTCATAAGTGACTTGTGTTGAAATCAGACGGTTTTGGAACAATAACAGTTAACAGACTACCAGAAATTGCAATTTGAGTTATTTATTAGACATTGCAACAAAAATAATTGCACGTAACTTGTATTTTTTTAAACTTTGTTATATACATTATTGTACATAAAAAAATGATTTTATTGATTAAGGATTTAAAATGTTATCGTATACTTACTGTTATTTTTGCTCCAAATTGCAATGAATAGTGAAAACCTGTAATTAGCTAAATGTTACGTATTTTGTTGTCATACACATACGAGTATTATTACCGCTGTTAGTCTTCCTTCACAGATAAAAAAAAACTACAAACACCTCAGTGCCTTTTCCGCAGTCTTATTTCACACAGCCAGCAAAGGTACTACATACACGACTTGCTGTTCTCTCTCAGTTTATTAACGTCTTTAATTAAACTTAAAACTGCCATGGAATGTATCGCAATTCCATTTAAAATCCATTTCCTTTCATCAACTAATCACTACTTAAAAATAATAACACAACATGTTGTCGTCAGTCGCTGTTTACTTTGGCGTTCGTTTCCAGAAACGACAATTGATACAACAAATTATCGAATACGCTACCATAAGTTATTTAATCGTATCTGTTAACTGCTAGTTGTACTGTACTTAAGGTATAATGTAAGGTGGCGAGACGCGCTTTGTAGCGCGCGCCCCTCTTTCGGGAGCACAAAGGGGACATAGGGGTTCGGGGGAGGGGGGAGGCCCGAGGTACGTCGGGGTGTCAGGGTTTTCCTTCCTAGGGTACACCTGGTTCCCCGGCAACCGGTACCCGAGACGGCGTGCGGTTTCTGGTCGGTTCGGTCCGACATAACCACCGGTGGTTGGTATCCGAGGGGATTTATGCACGGAAAAAAAAAGTAACAAAAAAAAGGTATACTGAAAGTTTCTGGATTCTGATAAATAAGACTAGATACGATACATGTATTGTTTTTCTGAGTATATTCCCTCGCAATTAATGCATTTCTGCATTCGCTAAAACCACTGTACAAAGCAGTTGGAACAGTCTTCCTAAGGCGTAAAAGTCTTCTTAATAAGTCTACGTAAGTCTACGTCTAAATTCTCCAAACTACTAATACACAGAGCTTGCGATATTGTGCTTTATCACCAAATGCCTTAAAGTCTCTGGCAACTCTCTTGTTGACTTAAGCCTCAACGAAAATCATAAAAACGAAAATCAAATCATTGAACGAAATGGTTCACGAGTTAAATTCATTTTGATGGCGACACACAATTCTCGAAAGGATGTCACAATGAAAAAGCAAATGAAATATTCCCAAAAAGTAACATATTCTATTTTTGAAATTCCTTAATTGTTTTTTTTATTGTCAGTGGCCAAATCCAAAGACTTTCAGTATTCCCCACGTGAATAAACATTTTAGTCGTCTCTGTATTATAATCGAAGCGACATCTCGTTAACCTTGAACTTGTAGCACATGTATCGCATTCGCAGTTGCCCTAACCACATTCTTGGCAAAATTGCGTTTGAAACAAAAGGGCCCGAGTTTATATAAGAAGCAGAACCTTTATTCCCACGGTAAAGAGTTTAATTTTCGTTATAAAGGTTCAACGTAAAACACTTTATAGTTTTGAAATAAAACCAGTTGTGGAGAATTAAAACACCCGAAGTCTGTAATTAAAAAGTATCATATAAAAGCGGTACTTTAAATACAGCATATGTTAAAACTAAAAGTAACCCAGTCGTTTAAAATTAGCATGAAACAAAAGTAACTGCTTCTTGCATCACACCGTCTGTTTTATATTAAATATATAAATATGAATTCAACTCTTATATTTAAATTAAACTATTTATTTAACAGATATTTACTTATCCGTGTGGTGACGTATTAAGAATACGGAATGTCACCACCTCTATGTATCACATGGGTGTCCTAAGAGCCGACTAAGCAAGCAAACTACGCAGAACCACAGCACTGCAAAAAGAAGGAAAACTTGACACAAACCCTCTACCAACCCGTCGGACCAGCGTGGTATAGTGGGCCAAACCTCCTATCTAAGGAGAGGCCTATGTAAAGCAGTGGAGTATTAAAGGCTGTTGATGATGATGATGATGTGATTTATTTTGTGTGTATGTATTTATAAATATATGGGTAAGTCTGTTTACCACAGTACAGGCTCTGCCTAGTTTAGACTAGACGCCTGTGTGAGATGTGTCAAATAATAACTTCACACATCTCACAAACGCGACTTTCTCAGTCCAGACAGTCACGTGGAAAAGTCCGTCGGATTTCCATCGGACTTTTAACAGTAGGTACCTCATTATAACTAGCCTATATTACTTTAAAAAAAGAATTATCATATACGCGACCTGCATAGTACACAGTTATCTCCCTCTCTTATCATTCGTCCGTGAGGTAAAGGATTAAGAACACCGAAAGTCACCAGCCCCATTCGTCCCGTGGGTGTCGTAAGAGTCGACTAAGGGAGCAAACTACGCAGGACAACGGCACTGTAAAGAGAAGGAAAACTTGAAACAAACCCTATACCAACCCGTCTGACCAGCGTGGTATAGTAGGCCAAACCCGCCTTTCTAAGGAGAGGCCTATGTCCAGCAGTGGACTAGTAAAGGCCGTTGATGATGCTTACGAGAATCATTATGTAATAAGAAAAATAAAAAGATTTCACTGTTTGTAGTTCATAAGACCTAAATATATCTTCTCAAATATGCTAATAAATATACAAATAATTAAAACCATTCCTGGCATTTTCTTATTTGCCCTCTATGGTGGTGAACGGCTAATTAAGATCTTTTACCGTATTGCCTCTTCTGTCATTTCAATAGGAAGGCAAATCATATATTCTAAGTGTCATTAATATATTCTCTTTCCAATTTAAAGATATCATCTCAAAACCTTAGTATCATCTTTATCAATTACTGATAGTATTTTGTCTGAACTTTTATTGGTTAAATTAAACAATAACTAACAATAAAGATCAATTTAATAAAAAAGCAATAAGGCTTTAGAAATATATTTTCACTTCATGTTTAAAGAAAAACAGATTTATGTAATAACGAAATTACGTATTTCCAACTACGAGAGTAGATTTAAAAGGAATTTTAATAAGTATATTACGAATTCTCTGAATTCTCGTGTCACAAATTTCATGGCTCAATTCTCTCTTAACTCTCTCTGTCTCTCAAACTCGTATTTTCCTAAAGAAGTTTATAATCTTATAATTTCGTTTTGATCTTATAAAAGAAATAAGATTGCCGCCGTACATACGTGTTGTCGACAGTATCATCAAATTAGTGAAGTTCTTAGAACCAATCTAACGAGCTAAAGAATATGCTGATAGGAAATCTGCTTCGTTATAACTTTTTATACATTTAATGAAAAGAAGTTGCCTGTATCGAACGAGAAGCATTTATAATCTAAGGGCTGGAGTATAAAGCTGGGCCTTTGTTTCTACCAAACCTGATATTATAGCAAGCAAAAAAATTGCGATAAAGCCACTCCACTCTGAAAACATCATAATTTGTATAATAATAACTTCAAACCTCAGATACGGCCCTCTGATCCCATTAATCCAACACGCCAGTTAATAACTCAAGACTATTATATTATATATTAATTATACATATATTATATCCTTATACATAGTAATTTACCGTTCTCATAACAAGATTGCTAACTACTGGTCCAACAGGCCTGTACATTGAGTTTTTTTGGCATTTCTTGTTGCAGAAAAGGGTTAAGACTATTTTAGTTTTGAATAAACGTCATCTCTATATTCTTTGTCTAACTTAAGTTTCTTCTTCCTCAGGTTCCATCGTCCCCGGCGTAACATTGCTGGCTCCTCATCACAACGGACATCGACGTCTCCTCAAAGGAGAAACGCTGCCGCTCCTGCATTAGCTACGAACATCAGACCCTTCAATGAGATCCCTGGGCCTATTGCACTACCGATGTTGAGACATTCAGCACATGTTCTACCGAGAATTGGTAAGCTATAAATAGTTATAAAAATAAAATCTTTATTCAGGTAATTTTACGAAATTGGTTCTTACTTTTAAAATACATCAAAGAATTTACATGAAGCAAGGGGCGGGTTGCCTCTGACCAAATCTCAACTCCAAATCGCACTCATCACCTAAATAGATTAAGTAATCAAATAGCCGTGATGTTATGATTTAAATTAGACTGTTAAAGCATTTATTTGTTTTTTTTTAACTATAGTCTAGATAGCATCACACTACGACTAATGGGGCCCGAGCATAAATAGACAGCCACCTGGTAGTAAAATATTATAAAAATCCTGATCAAATCCCGGAACAAACAGACAGATAGCCAAAAAATATTTAAAGTAGTTTCGTGTAATTTAAAATCGTGCAAATAACCACGTGTGAACATAAAAATAACCTATTAATTTAACATTACAAACAGACACTTTAATTTTATTTGTTTGTATAGATATAGATAACTGAAGGCTTTTGCTGAATTTATAAACAAATTTGGAATAATCAATAAAATGGTCATCAAAACACGGTCACCGCAACAATAGATTGCTTTAGTGGATAACACAGACAATACCGCATCTGCCTGTGTCAATGCCCATTTCGAATGATTGTATCTTGTAAAAAGAAATCCTGAAACTCACGGCCTCTCTTTTCAAATCACCAGAGGAACACTATTTTATTGTGCTATAAAAATAGGGTTTAATAGATAAAATAAAATAGACTTCAATAAATACTGAGCTAGAAATACCGTTATGATGATAAAAAGGCACTACGGTTTTGTAGTCGTCACGTCCTCTAAGTATTTTAAGTAAGTATTAGCTATTTAATTTTAAAATTGTATTGATAAAATAAATTATTCGACATTGCGTTTGAGTGTTTTTATTAATTCTATACCATATTATAGACGACCGAATGGCGTAGTGGTTTGTGTAACGGACTGCTATTCCAAAGGTCGCGGGTTCGATTCCCGCTCAAGTCAAACATTTGTGTGCATGAACATATTTAATGTTTGATTCGGTCTGGGTGTTTCTATGTATAATATGTATGTATTTACAAAAAAAAAGAGTATATATGTATTTATATCAGTTGTCTAGTAGCCATAGTACAAGCTCTGCTTAGTTTGGGACTAGATGGCGTTGTGTGAATGTGGTAGAATATTATTATTATTTCTGAGTCTAGATAAGGTATAAATACTTTGAAAGCTTAAATAAGCTGTATTAGACCTGCAGAATAGACAAGAACCAGACTTTCTACTACACTGTTTATAGATCGAAACCCAGATCGATTCCGGTTATATATCGCAATCATGGCCCAAAGCAGGACCGTTGCATCATGTGATCGATACAATTATTTGCTCAGTTAAAGTAAATCTTATATATAAAGAAAAACTAGTTTTAATAATAAAACACACTAAAAGCTTTTGATTCTACTTATTCTGATGTTATGATGTGTTTGTATTGTCATCAGCCCTTAAGCTGAGTCCAAATATTTAAAGGCAATCACATGTATTTAGGTTGGCGACAATGACGTTTAAGAATTCCGTTACGATACGTACAGATATTTCAATTTAATAACAAGGGGTTAATAAACTCTCATGATTTTAATAATATGTTACAAATTTATTATTTACAGTTAGAATAAGTTAAATGTTGTTAAATGACGCGTTAGTAAATGATCATAACTAAATATTATCTAGAATGCCTAAATTCAAAATCAAAGAAATTACAAAATCTAAATTTATATAATACAGTAGCTCTCCTGGCGAACTTCGTAAAGCCTTAGAATTAATAAATTAGTTGACAAATTTGGTGACATACCGACAGCAGCACCACCTACCGGGTGTTTTCAAACCATCCACGAACGCATTGAAATATACACATAAAATGTCATCCAAATCGGTCCAAACGCTTAGGCGGAGTTAGGTGACTGAAAGAATTAATTACAACCAGATAATATGCAACAGTTGTATATAATGTTGACTTTAGTTTACAAGCTTAAACTTTCACTTTACACAATTCATAATGATTGCTGTAGTAAAAACACACAAGGCGAGCCCCAGATTAGTCACATAATTATGTGCCAACTCTGGAACCGCGAGCGCTCATTGGTCAAATCAAATAGCGCGCTGCTCCAGTTTCCAGTTACATATTTCCGTATATAAGACAGTGGATTGTTGATGGAAAGTGAGCAAAAATAATTTTAAAATGTATGTCCTAACATGTAACATATAAAGAGATAAAAGGGGTATTAAAAATATCTAAAAAAAATGATCTCTCTAAAAAAAAAACACAACACAATACTATATAACAAGTTTACAAAAATATTAATATTTCTAAAAAATCTTGGGACTTTTAATAAACTTTTATTAGCAGTTTATTATCATTCCTCGATTCCAGAAGCTTCCATCTCAAATTCTAAACATTCAATTTTCTGCATGTTGTCTCCACTATGATTGTTACATAATTACCGCGCTGCCTCGAACTACGCAGCAGCTATTTTACCGCATGCTCTAAGTGCATTGATATCGTTACGGTGGTATTCTATTACATTTAAAGGTCAAAAGTATACCGGCACAATTGCTTCAATGGTTACACACATACAGGTCATTAGGAATTCGTGTAACTGTATTTATCCTCATCAACTACTGATATGGCCCGTTCTCATTGATAAAATCTAATATTGATTGCTAATTCCGATAAAAATGTCAAGGTCATTATAGTCAACGCCAGGTAATGGCCAATAATGTCCCAGATCGAGGCCTCTCCAATGAATTATGGGACGAACATGTCCCAGTTATACCCGACCCTAACCCTTCTGAACAACAGCAGTCCTAGTCCCGTTTCCCCATTTGAGACTTACTAAATTGGTAAAAGGGCAGGTAGATGCTGATTATAATGATGATCCACGTAACCTGAAGAAAAAATATTTGTACAGTATACTTAACTTCTGGATATTTCCTCTATTGGGTATTAAACTCTTGCGATCATCATGGCTTAGGCCACTACGAAAGCTTACTGCGTCTAAGAAGTTCCCAAACAGACAAACTCCCAGGATCCACCAATTTTACTTTCACATTTTAAACATAGTGAATGATATGACAGTAAAATGATATATTAACATGATAATATTTTTCGGTTGTCATTACCCAAAATAGAACTAAATACACTCCTATTTAATAGTGATTTATTCTCAACTTTAACAGGTAGCTACCATCACACCGTCGGTCTCGGCCTTCTGGAGGGTCTTCGTGACAAATATGGTGACTTGGTGCGTTTGGCAAAGGCGTCTAGGACTAGACCTGTCCTATACGTATTTGATCCTGAACTAATGCAAGAGGTATGTAAAGACTAAAAACAACTTAACAATGAAAAAACCCAAAACCATACCAGAACACTCAGACTCACTCAAAAAGAGTTTTTATTTATTAATGTTTGGACCATTAGCTTATTGTATTTTAAAAGGAAAAATAAAAAGTTCTAAAGACAAATTTCCCTCAATTCGTAACTGTTAAGAAGAGATGTACCTAATGGTTTTTGTATCACTAAAATGTGGATCTATCCCGAGAACATTTTCTCACTACTATACGAGTATTTTGTGATTTTGAATGTAAAAAAAAACTATTTTCTTTATTATTCGATTATTATATCATTTATCTACTCACATCAAGTAAAATCTAATAAACTTAAAGCTTTATGCACCTGCCAATATTTACCTTACACCAAAATAAACTAATTTGGCCCAAGTAACTCGTCAAAATGAAGTATGGGCCTGTGTTGTTTGTAGTAGAACGTGTTTATTGCTGTAAAGGAATGGTTTTTATATATTCAAATTGATTCCAATACAGTTTGATTAATATGCAGTCTGACTCAGGAGCCGTGTCAACCGAATTGCGTAATACATAGGTAGTGATATTTTATTTAATGCGCAGATATACGCAGTAAATATATGACTGTGGTATTGTCTGGCTTACATGTACAATATATGCATAATTTGTAAACACTTACTACTTTGCTAAATCGGATCGGGTTTATAACGAATTTATTAAATCGGACTACATATAAACACTGCAGGAACTGATGTAAATATACAAAACAAAAAAGATAATTTTAACATTAATATAGTATACAGTATACAAAAACAATCTTTGAAGCGGAATGTATATCGTGTCAAAGTTTCAGCTTAATGCAGAACTTTTTTAGTTTTAAAAGCGTACACAAACCAACTTGACATTTTTATTTATTTATATCTTTATTTTATTTACATTTAACACATAACAAAAGATGAGTTTCAAATATGTAGATCTTTTCGTTCGCGAGGATCTCTCGCAGACAACCTTAACACGGATTTTAAGTATCCAAAAATTTAGGGTGGCTTACACATCCATACTAATCCATACTTCCATACTAATATTATAAATTCGCAAGTATGTCTGTCTGTCTGTTAACTCTTCACGCTTAAACCGCTTGACCGATTTGGATTAAATTTGTCATAGAGATATTTTGAGTCCCAAGAAAGGACATAGGATAGTTTTTATCTCAGAAATCATCCTTCAAAGGGGTAAAAATTTGGGTGGATTTTGTATGAGGAATCAATAACCGCTGAACTGATTTAGATGCAATTTGTTGTGGAGATAGTTTGGGTTATTGGATTGGGAAGATCATAAGCTACTTTTACCGCGATAACGGACTACATGCGGGTGGAGCCACGCAAAAGCTAGTTTATACATATATGGAAGATTACAATAATGATAATTCGAAATTTCTTTGACGGGCCTGTTGGTCTAGTGGTTAGTGACCCTGACTGCTAAGCCGGAGGTCGTGGGTTCCATTCCCACCCAGGACAAATATTGTGTGATGAGCACGGTCATTTGTTTTGTGTCTTGGTGTAATTTATCTATAATATGTATGTATTAAAAAATATATAACTATGTTTATCAGCAGTCTGGTTACCATAGTACAGGCTCTGCCAAGTTTGGGATCAGACAGCCGTGTGTGAGATGTGTGAAGTTATTATTATTATTATTCTTATTAATTGGTGTCAAATACGTCATTAGTAAATGCGTAGTAAAAATTAAGACACTTGCAACCACTTTCTATGTAAAACTAATAGTTCAATAGAACCTTGTCACTGTAACGAGACGTCTACCCACCGAACCGCTAATTTAACAGTATTACTATCATGTCAATATTAACGAAATGAAAGGCGTTTCATTTGACGCTAACGAAATAAAGTAGTAAATTTGATATAAAAAATAAGGACACGTACACTTTTTCATCATTTCGATGTATACTTACTTACAACTAACCACTAAGGAGCCAAAAAAGAAAGTTGTCCGTCTGATGTTCAATGGTTGCACATAGCCGGTTCTTGTACACACCTCACTATGCTTAGAGTGAATCGTATTTGGAGTTCTATTTGGTCCTATCTACTAGGACTATATCTAATGCTCATATCTACTGCTATTTACATACTGTCCAGCGTAATAGGAGAAGGTTGAATGAAGAGCTCAGGAGTGCGGTGCAGGTGTGAGAGGCGAGTGGTTAAGGGCAAAGGGCTGTAAATTTATGGGTAGTAGGGAGGGAGGCTCCCGCCCTTCACCTCAGATAACGTCGGAATTCAACTCCCATAAGCTTCCACATAACTTTAGCTGAATAAAACTACGTTTTTGAAAATATACTCAAGAATATAAAGAAAAAAGTATGCTTAGTATTGTGTATTTTAAACATCGAAGTTTGCGATGCCAAGCATTACTTATACACTCAAATATCACATCAGTATGCCGTGTTAATGAAGGATAGACTCTAAACCACGAAAATTATCTCTATAAAACACTTGACTGATTTAAAGAGATAAAAACAGATCGTATTAGAAAAAAATATTAAGTATATGCAATTGTTGTCAAGCTATAAACATAACCGATATGCACAATATTATTTGATGTTTATCTAGCATATATTTATGGAATTTGATGAGCATTAATAACGCTTTATCTGTCGATATCTTCAATCATGTACAATATGGATACAACGGTATCTGTATAATGACGTAATTTGACAGAAGCTGGATCTAGTTGTAGTTTTTAATTTAAGCCGTACGTTTTTTTTTTTCTGTGCGGAACTCCCCTCGGATACCACCCACCAGGTGATTATGTCGGACTCGAACCGACCAAAAACCGCACGCCATCTCCAGGTACCAGTAGCCGGGAACCAGATATACCCTAGAAAGGAAAGCCTTAGTACCCCGACGTATCTAATTTAAGCCGTACTGACATTTATATGTCAAAATAGTTTAGGTTCTGTATATCAGTCACTTTAATGTCGGGTTGGATAACACTTGTTATCCAACTTACCCACACTCATTGTTTTCAACAAATGTATGGTCCTACTATAAATACCAGGGATACACATTAACACCTTACCTATTTTTAAGCGAAAAAATATTATATACAAGAAAACAGTGCGGCTAAAAAATAGTTCAACAATAATTTATCTGATAATTTTAAGATTTACTAATTCCTAAGGCATTGAATTTGACACAAACAAGCCCTACAATATAAAAAGAATCCTTTGTTTAATCTAATGTCTGATAATACATTTATTTATGATACATTAGATATTGTACTTCACAACTAAAATTTTATCTATCGCAGACGGTCAGATACTTTGCGAGAATGGTACTTTCAATATTTTGTTTACATTTGACCAACTCATTACCATTTAAGTTATAAATATTCGTGACAATAAAAGTACCACTGATAAAGTATTTGTATTTACGCAAAACATGATGAGTTAGAATACAAACACATGGAATCATGATTTTCTCGACCAAGGTTACTAACACATATTGATGCATAGTAATTAATTATCAGTTGCATAGCTATAGTTCAATTACAGGGTATATATCTGCAGTGAACTGGTCAAACAGGTCGGGTAGCATTTATTTCAGTTAATAAGAGTAGAAACTCCAAGTATGATACTACCAAGTAATAATAAAAATGCCATCAGACACGTTTTAAAAGCGTGTTTGATGGCATTTATCATAAATGGGATAGTAAAAATAGCAAAATGTTGCAGTCTAAAACCGATAAGATGAGTTGCAATTGCTAGCAGTGGATTCTCCGTATATTATCTTAGATTTACTAAAAAGGAAAGCTAAATATAATTCGGTACGTAAGTACGTACGTTCGTAAAAGTAAAAAAAATGTTTTTGTGTTACACAAGGCTTGATTTCAGCTAAGTTTTGTGTTCATAACGTTGTGACGTTTCTAATATTAACATATAAAAACTTCTAAGTGTATTTATCCGTATTTTAGAAGGTACATTATAGTGCAGTGCTTTGGCTGAGCTAGTTAAGCTTTGCAACACAAAAAAAAAAAAATTAATAAAAATTATGTACCGTTTTGATAATGACTTGCATAATAGCTAATTAGACTGATAAATCAATATTGTGATTCTTTTTTTATGTTATGACAGAATATAAATACAAAACGTCAATAAAATTTTTTATCTGTGTGACGCACACATAGGTCATAACCAACTACTATGTAAGATTAAATTCCTACTAAAATAACATTGCTACGGCAATTATTATTATCAGTCTTGCTTTGCCTCTATCTCCCTTCCTCTCCTTCTTAATAGCAGAAACAAAATCCCACTAAGCTGAAAGTGTTGGCGACTCATTTAGTTGGTAAACGAATACTTGGTAGGTACTTACTCACGAAGACATTCGAATTATATCTTCTTTTCTTCCTAATCGTTCCCTTACTGCTGAGGATCGTGACTGCCTTTTATCCTGTCAACCATCTGGTTCTATCAGTTGCGGTCAGTCGCTTGGTGGGGTGCGATAATTATTGTCATTTCCAGCTATTGAGCGATCTTGTCTGACCATTTTCTGGGACTTCTGCCTGACCCAGAGGGGTCTCGCCCCTTTTTCCCTCCGGTCACCATTAATCGCTCCAGGTTGTTATTACTTCAGCGAGCAAATTACATCTAAGCTGATAGAAAAAGATATCCCACGTCAATTTACTTCATCTTGGTGTATCACAGACAAATCACATCACACTACGGAAGTATTAAACGGTTACTATCGCCTGTAATCACATAAACCTGACTAAAGGCCATCAGAGAGGAGTATTTACGCCAACTGTTTTTTTGTAATAAGAATGTGCTCTTATCTTTTGTAGAATATATTTATTTACTGAGTTGTTTGGGTTAGTATGCGAATCACGGACCATTGAATGAGAAATGCATACAGAAGACAAACAGAGGAATTAACAAAGAGAGGAAACAACACATAACGAATAAAGCTTCAAAGCGTAACAATCTTATACGGAGTCGCAAGACTTTTTATCGCGGTTCAGATGATTGTCGCATTACGAGTTCTTTTAATTGTTAATTATCATAAAAAAAGAGCATTTGTTTATCGTCACATTCTTGTTTGCGCAAAAAGTGTTGATGCATTAGTCAAAGTATTTGAAATGAATAAAGAAAAATTGCTAATGAATAAAATTGACAATGTGAAATATGTTGGCTGAGTAAATAAACATGCTTAATCAAATGATGTTACAAAAAATATGATTTGCACGGTTCTTACGTAAGTTAAAGTTAATACAGTTTACAGTTATCGCGAAAATATTTTACGAGCTCATTTGATAATCACAAATATATAATATTACGATGTTCACGATGTAAACAAGTGATTTTCAACATGACAGTTTTATATTATATAGAGCCGATCTTCCTCAATAATTCTAAAGCAGATTATAAAGATTATTGCTGAACTATGAAAATATTGACTACTTGTTGTAACTGGAATAAAGATGGCTGGCTATCTGAAAAAGAAAATACCTATGCTATTGCTAGAAATTTTTGCAAAGTTGATATCATGGGTATCATCTTCTTTAATATCCTAATAGTTTTTGAACCCCTGAAGATAAGTTTGGAGAAATTAGGTCATGAAGATGTAATAGTCATTAGTATTCGAATAGCCTACAAATATCGGCAGAACTGCATTCCCGCTAAATAATTTCCCGCTGGCATGTTGGCAAACTGGTTACTGGTTTATCTTGTAAACAAGTAGTAAAAAAAACAAAACAACTTTTCGAGTATCTATAAGATACATCTGTTTATAAATTCCCAATTAAAGTTATACTAAAAATCGGCTCCTATTTTAAATTCTATCGTAAATCATCATTATTATTTTTTATTCTATTTTATTGACTTGTTTGTAACACAAAGTGGAGCGTTTTGTATATAGATACTCTAATCCACGAACGGGCCTAGATTTAACTATTAATACTAAACTATCCGTATTTGATCTGTATTTATAATCCGTCTAGAAAAATACCTTTTGTTATAATGTATTAGGAAACTTTTTCTCATGAAAATGACTCATTGATTGCTTTTTTTGTATTATAAATACAGACTAAACTACTACCATAAGTGTATTAAATACTATCAATATGAAATAAGTATTGAATACTAATAGTGTTTCATACACACTAACTTTAGGCCTAAAGGTAAAAAGGTAAAAAGTAGCCTATGACTTTTCTCAAGAATCAAAGTATCTCCAAACCAAATTTCATCTAAATCGGTTCAGCGCTTATTGATTCCCCATACAAATGCCACCCTAATTTTCACCCCTTTAAAGGATGATTTCTGGGATAAAAACTACCCTATGTCCTTTCCCGAGACTCGGACTATCTCTATACCGAATTTCATCTAAATCGAGTTGAGCGGGTTAAGCGTTAAGAGGTAATAGATAGACAGACGGACAAGATAGACGGACACACTTTCGCATTTATAATATTAATATGGATATGCCACTACCAGTAACTAGGAACCTACTACACAATAAAGTTAATTTTAGCAGTTTACCAGCAAAGGGATAAGCTAAGCTGTCATTGTACTTATAGAGTTTTCGTACCATTTTAACATAATTATCATCATCATCATCATCAACCTATCGCAGTCCACTGCTGGACAAAGGCTCCCATTGCACGCCACTTAGATCGATTTTGGGCATCTCGCATCCAGCTCCTGCCAGCCATCTTGCGCAAATCGTCACTCGCAAATAATAAATACGTGAAACTTGAAGTAGCCATTGTTCTACTTCAAGTTTCACGTATTTATTATTGGTTACAATACGTACGTTTACAATACATAGTGTTTAATTTTAGCTCTCTACGTTTCTTTTAATGCACTGCACAAAACACAATGTTTCTGTTTTTATGTCCTACACAGTTTACAACCAACTCATTAGGTTCTCCACATAATTTGAAATACCTCGTAACAGTACTTAATGTATTAATTTGTTCTAGGTGTATGAAAGTCGTGCGACGGAGCCTCCGCGCTTTGAGAAATCACCTCTATGTCACCACCGAAGGGGTATTGGCGAATGTCCTGCCCATAGGTAATAACTTTATATTTTACTTGTCTTTATTTGAGTCTTCGACTGCAAAGGCTCACTTACCATGACACCAAAATGCATTAATTTTTTATTTAATTTTACTAATAATACCATATCCTGTCTGCGTGATATGTTTTGCAATCTCTTTCGAAACGTGCTTCTAGCGAACATACAACAATACATTATCGCCTAGTGTAATATTTTCACAGATTGTGCGAATTGGTCGCGCATGCCGATAGCGTACATCAGTACAACGGGTTTTTATATAAACTAATTGGTTCCTTAAACATGACAGTTTGGTACACTGTTGCAAATATACACTATGATCACATTATATCTATACATTCAAAAGAGATTAGTAGCTTTTTAACAGAATTTACAGAAGAGGTTTTTAATTCCACTGAATATTCTTTATTTTTGTTACCATCGTTGTACTCCGGGTCTAAGCATGTAAAATTAATGAAGGATAGAAAATTAAGGAGGATGACTACAGTTTATCGTGCTTTAGGCTCAATGAAGTCGGTGCCAATTTAAAAAAGTTGGGGTCATTTACACGCCGTAAATGGCCCGAGGTACGTCGGGGTATCAGGAATTTCCTTCCGTGGGTACACCTGGTTCCCCGGCAACTGGTACCCGAGACGTAATCACCCCACCGGATCCCCAATCAATCGGTGATATCCGATTAGATTTCAGAAGAAAAAAGTCCAGTGTTGTCAACGAAAATAATTTATAAACAATTTATGCCTTCGACAAAGTTTTATTGTAATTCATAATTTAATGAATTACGATAAAATTTTGAGCCTTGACTGTTGACTATTAAGATTCTCAATTTATGTCTATTATGTTGTTGTATGCTTATAAATTGTGAGTAGATAAACGGCACTAGTAACTGTAAATGGCAACTACCATAATTAAAATTTGTTACAGTGACGAAACCAAAGCAATATGGGCCGCGATCCGCGCACTACTAAAAGACGGGACATTACTCAAGAACTATGAAAAGGCTTTCGATGACATAGCTGCTGATACAACACGCAGGTAACTGACGTATTTCTTCTTGTTTGAACAGAATGTTACAGAAAAAAAATGCCGCATGGAAATATATGAAAAAATGGCAAATAATGTATTAAAATGTATAATAATTACTGTAAATTAATATTTTGTGTGAAAGTTTAACATATCTACACACCATTGTTATAGTAGAATATGGTGGAGTCATGCATGTGCATGTTTAATAAATGAATTTGAATTAATTTGCCTATAAATTACATTTTCAGAAAAATCTTTAGAATTAAACACCTACCGTTTAATAAAAAGTCATTCCTATCTCTTAAAATTTAATCCGTCATTGTTTAGGATCAATTTGAAAGTAATATATTAAACTTTAACTAAGTTTTTATTGTTACGCGTTACATTACGTCATTAGTTAAGGCTACTACACGATTTAAAATATGACAACACCATAATATAATATTCTGTTTATCAGACTCATATAACCTTGTAAACTCTTTTTGTGAGTAGGAAGGTAGGAATAGAAACCTTGACCACTTGACCAGTGGCCAAACACTATCAATGAATGATATATTCTTGGCGGTGATGACGCTTCAACTAAAGACATTCATTGATATAGGATTAAGAACGAATTAACCCTTAATCTGTCATGATTTCATGACTGTCTTTTCTTAAAACAAAGTACAAATCATTTTTGAATCCTTACATATTATAAAATTAAGTCCTCCGACCGCGTCTGGTAGTGTGATATACTCAAAAACTACCAAACGATTTTTTATAAGGTTTTCACAAATAGATAGTTTGATTCCTGAGAAAGGTTTAGGTGTATAGTACGCGGCCAGGTACCGCAGGTGACTCAGGCGCCGGAGGTCGCAGAACGACCTCCGTCCTCCATAAGCGCAGGCCTGGGGGTGACAGGTGAGGCCATCTGTCACCCTAGCAGAAGCAGGCCGGGGTGGCAGCGAGCGCGTTGCGAAGCGAGCTCGCTTCCAGGCAGCAGAGGGAACATGGGGTTCCCACACGGGGAGGGTCGTCTACCTGTTGTTGTAGATGGCCCGAGGTATGTCGGGGCACCAGGGACTTCCTTTCTAGGGTATACCTGGTTCCCCGGCTATTAGTACCCGAGACAGCGTGCGGTTTTAGTCGGTTCGAGTCCGACATGCCACTGATAGGTGGTATCCGAGGGGATTTCCGTACGGACAAAAAAAAAAGGTGTATAGTACGCTCCAGGCGGACTTAACTTAAAGTCTGTTTAAACAATGGCACATTATAACCATTTAAAAACTTATAATGGGTACCTGACATCCATTACAAATATAATTTATAGCTGTAGTATTTACACATGCCTATTACATCTTGTTTGGTTTATTATTCCAAACATGCTGTCTAATGAAATAAAACTTATTAGTCATTCCACGAAGCGATTACCATTGAAACTCGCAAACCAAGAGCCAACCATATTGCTAGTGTCTAAATATCACTTGGATATTAGATAAAAATAAATATACCCGGATATTTGTTTTGTTTGGTAAGTGACATCCACCGTCGATGGACACATACAACTCAAGAGGCAGAAATACATTGTCGTTCTATGAGCGCCCTCTCCCAGGATAAGAGAGGGGGGGGAGGGTGGTAAGAGATTGAGCTGTTGGTAACCTCTGATTTTCTGCCAGCCTGTGGTATCATTCCAAGCATGACTCTCTCTCATTTATTCTTTATATAAATATCTCTAATTATTTTCAATTAAATACCTTCTCAATTCATGTTTTGGATGTATATACAATTACATATATTTGCCATATATAATGATGTACAATATGTTCGGCAAATTATGTTATCGTGTAGTAATCAGAAAGGATTTACAAACAATATTTGTTGGATATGACAAGAGATAAGTAAACAAAACAGCAGATGACATAGGCCTATACTAAAAACAAATAGACCAACTTTATAATTCAGGTTCACACGTCAATCGAGTGTTTATAGTGGCAGCTTAAAGGAACTTAGTGGCCAACCGTTGGACACTTTTTTTTTCAAATTATTCAAATCAATGATTAAAGATTGTTCAAAATAATATTATAAACTTCATACTAAATATTTTTAAGTCTATTAACTTAAAGATAAAAACAGATTAATACGGTAGTTTTGTAAAACAATTAGAAAATCTTGCTCTCAGTTCATAATTTTAGATATTGAATCTTAATTAATCTTAATCATAAAAATTTGGAATTAGATAAATTCCAAATTTTTGTTTCTTTTTTCTACAAATATTTTGCGAAACATGTGATACATTTCGGCAACAACTCTAAAAACCTGAAAAAACGCCTCAGGATGAAATTAAAAACCCTAAAAAAAAGAGTGCACCTATTCACTTTTAAATGAGTTAAGCATTAACTAGACATGCTGGACTCAATACAAAGACCAATTAAGTGTAATAACACTAAACTCCCTGTGTAAATAATTTCAAATCATTAACAACGAGATTAAATATGAGATGAATGAACAGACACTAACAAACAAAAATGTAAAATATAATCGTAAAAAAACCAGGTCAGACTACATGACTGATAAAATTCAGCCAAAAATCGTCTAAATAAACTCTTGATAAATAAACTGGCAATAAGATGAAAACAAATACACGGGTTGTGTTCGCGCAATGATTTTAGTAGGTATTATTTTGACTGGTCTGTTGGTCTGAATGCCAATTCTCGTAATAAAAGTTCGGTCACAATTCAGTTCCGATCAACTTTCGATCTCAAAACGGTCATAAAAAGGATTTTCGTAGTAAAATAGTAAAGTGTTACTAAGACTAGCACAGTACCGATTCAATTTTCGGTTACAATACGATACAATCACATTACAGTTGACGTTGGATTAATTAATACTTTACTACGAAAATGACACTTGTGAGATCGATTGTGGCCGAACTTTTTTTACGAGACTTGGCCTTCTGGTTGTTAATAATCCTTACAGCTTAGCAAACAGATAATTGTTTAATGAGCATGAACATTTCTTCTATATCTGGGTATAATTTAATTATAATTAAAACGTATTTAAAAGCAAATAGGCATGTTTATCTGGTTACCACAGTACTGGCTCTGCCTAGTTTAGAATCAAACGTTCGTAGTCCGTATGTGAGATGTGTAAAGTTAAAATAATATTATTATGATTAGTTCGGATCTAAAGTTGCTAAAATATGTTGACGAACTACAGACTAGGTTTTCATTGTTTGTAATATATTTGAAATACATATGTATTAGTTCACAGCCGGTCATTGAACGGAATGCGTGTTCTCAATACAATTTCTCATATCATTCATCAATATCGATTGTAAATCTATTATATATATAAGAGATTTCCACGTATATAGTCACTCATCACGATATCTCTGGAACCATTAGAGCTAAAGGCTTGAAATTTGGTAGGAATATTCTTTTCACCGAGTAGAGGCCTATGTCCAGCAGTGGACTAGTATAGGCTGTTGATGTGATGTGATGATGAGTAGAGGTCAGCTAAGAAAGGATTTTAAGAAATTCAAAAAAGAAAAATATTTAAATAATGTAAATAGCAAAGCAACGTTTGCAGGGTCAGCTAGTTATTATATAATTATTATCATTAAAGTTACAATTTTCTTGTGGGTACATAAGTTCTGAACCTTGACATCCAAACTAGGTACAGAACTGTGATTTGGACATCAGTTTTCTGCTAGGGCCACTATTGACAATATTGTCAATCTTGGACTTGATGGACAACTTTACTGTTACAGTTTTTACTAATGACATGATTATGGCTTATATAAAAGAGCATAGATTGTAAGAATATCAGCGCGATCTGTGTATGTGTGTGTGTTCCTGGATGTGTGAGTGTGTGTATGAGGGTGTGTATAATTTAGTGATGATAAAAGTTAGGTTAAATATATATTTATCGTCCCCACAGACTTGGAGAGTTGCGCTACGCAGAGAATGCTCTAAATGAAGAGCTGGAGACAGAGATCTACCGATGGGCCATCGAGACCATCGGCATGATGATCTTTGGCATCAGGTTGGGATGTTTAGATGGGGCTGTACACAGACCTTGCTCAAAAACAAGGTAAGTCAGACATTAATTTAGCTATTTCATTCCTAATAACATCTTTAGAAGAGTTAAAAAGAAAGTTATTGTATTCTTCAATTCACAGTAATCGGTTCACTGCCCACAAAAGGACTTAGTTAATATAGTCCTTTCCAACATAAGACGTTAGACGTTCAACTTGACATAAGACGTTAGTTTTTTTTATTAAAACTACAAAATCCTCCTAACTTGTACGGTTTTAAGAGTCACAAAGTGCATCAGCGGCTTCTGTTTACAGTTCAACCTCCCCTTTCTTCCAAAATCACTGAAAGGAGGTGTGAGCTCCGGTCATGTCAGTCACTCGGTGAAAACAACGAAACAATTGCACCCTACAAATAATAATTATTAATCGTAACAGTTCACAGAAGACTGGTCTTACCTACGAATAATAATCATTATTACTAAGTTCACAGAAGACTGGTGTTAACTGCGAATTATAATTATTATTCGTAACAGCTCACAGCAGATCGGGGAATAACAGTTATAATTCGCAGTTGTTAACTTACCAGGTTCTGTCAAGTCGTGATAGCACTCACATAATGTATTGTTTGTATAAATTTATTAATCCCTGGAACTCCCAGTCAGATTTGAATAATCATTTACTTATGTACATACTATGTGAAGCGACTGCTATATATAAAGCCGAAAAGATTAAAGTTTTTTAATTACCTGAAAACGTAAGGAAGAAACAAAGAAAAAAAATAAACAAATTCACTTTTTTATCTAAACTTTATTTAATCTTTTCTTTAGGAAACCAGAGAAAACCTCCATGGATGACGAGATTCAGGATCTGTGTTCCCTTTCAAAACGCTGCTTCGAAGAGCTCACTCCAGCAGAACGTCTTGTGCGATGTAGCCGAGACATAGCTGATGGCAACTTCCTCGTACGAAGCGAGGCCACTCTCAAGACTGAAAACCAAACCTTCAACAACGCTTTGAAGGCTTTTGATAGACATTTTAAGTAAGTTTCCTATTTCCGATATTTCCGATATGTATGGGTATGTGTGTATGTATGTGTATTTGTATATGTGTAATGTCCATAGATGTATATTTGTGTATGAATGTGTTTGTTTATGTTTGTGAATATTTTTAAATATTCACGTGATATTTACGTTACGTGTATGTATACTACCCTAAATTGTTAAATACCTAAAATCCATGTTAAGGTTGTCTGGAAGAGATCGCTGTGAGCGATAAGACCGCCGATTGTTACGTTTACTTATTTGTAACTCATCTTTTGTTTTGTTTTTTCTATTAGTGTATACAATAAAGATAATAAATAAATAAATAAAATAAATCAATACCTTTATAGTAAGTGTCAAGGTTATGTAAGCCCAATCAGAAATTGCGCTACTCGAAAATATGTTGTAAGTTCAGCTAGTAAGATATAGTGAGTAAGATAGATCAATTGGTGATTAGCCACTCATAGTTGAAAATAGCTAATATTCTCAACGCCATCTCTCTAAAACTGGTCGAACTACTTCGAAGCTACTGATCCCAAACCGCAATATTAATAGTTGACTATGTACATATCAAGCTTATATTCTCTAAATCTCATAGTCTCAGTAACATTTACCTATAAACACACAGTAAGCGCACCTCACCACCTCTAATTACAGCAAAAAAAACTTTTTCTCTATTCAGTGGATCATCACAAACGAGCTGAACTAACTATCTAATAAATTTAAATAATGAACAATTCAAACAACAGAATTCAATTACTCGATAATTCTAAATTCATAAAGTTTTATTACCTTCTGTTCATTAAATGGATATCTATTAAGAGGGAAGTCCCTTTATAACTACAAGTCTCGCCATTTTTAATAATTATAAAAAATACTAGGTATTACATAAGTCCATATTCTGATCCAAAGTACTTCTCGCATGTGTCTATATTACACATATGCTTCTAGTACAATTTTGTTGTAGGTAATTAGGTATGCATGCAAAACCGTTTTTCGATATAACAATGATAAATTGTATTGTTATACATATATGTAATCTTAACAAATTAAAAAACATAATCAATCCTGATTTTATGTACTATTTTAGGGGATAAAAAAATGGTTTAATAACTAACCGTTTAATCTTGATTCAGACACGTTTTTGGCAGTATATTACATGTTTCGTTATGACCCTCCATTATCCACACAAGCCGTCACTTCTCCAGCGTCTCGAAATTGAACCAACCATAACCACCCGTAACCACCGTAACCACCGTAACCACCCATAACCCCATAAAAACCCCGAAAAATTCCTGGCGCCTGCCCGTAAAGGTGGCATTACCTCATGGTATTTTTTTTTGCAATCAAGCGAGATCTATACACACACAGGCGCGCACGGCGGACTTCGCTTGCTCGCCTGTATTCATTCTGGCAAGTGGATTGGAAAACTCGTTTCGTTCACCCGCGGCAACACTCATTCGTTGTGATCATACCAGGTTAAGAAACGTTCAGCATTTACGAGTACCTACTTTATTAGTTCTCAAGAATTGAGGTATCAAATGCAAAAAGAATCGTCCAAATCATACAGGTACAACAGGTCTATTTGTTATTAAATGTATCTATTTATTTCCAAGGTCCCCATGGTTGTCATTTAAAAAATAAGTTATTAAAAATATGATAAACTAGTCACTAAAAAAATTTAATGAGTTTTAAAACGTGAGTAGATAATCATTATTTCTGAGTGAGCGATTATGTTTTACGGGAGAAAACACTACACATTCTAATAAAACGATATAATGCTACCAATTTGTTGTGATCTACCCATGATCACAACAAATTGGTAGCATTATATCGTGAATGTGTGTAATATGAACGTTAGGTAACGACAAAAGTTGTCATTTTCGTATTGTTAATAAGCACCCTTATTATAATGTATTTATATTTTTTTATTATTAAACATGTACAAAACGATTAAAAACTGATAATTGTTAGGAGCAACTTTAAGACCTCTGCGTTTCGTTGCGATGTATTTCGTCAGGCGTATAGGCAATTCGGACTTTTATTTAGACGGATTTGAAGTAGGTGAGTGAGTGAGTATGATATGTCGTTCGTATGTATTCAAAGTCACTTTATTTATAGAAAATGTTAGCAGATAATATGAGTCGTTCTCCAATTCAAACCGGTATATGGGGATGGGTGGCGCGGTTGGCGCCCAGAGTAGCCTTCCTCACTCGATGAAATGCAAGGAAAGAATTACTTAAGACAGGTTTTTTATGAAGCCGTTATCACATTCGGGCTGGCCAACCTATATATGCCAAAATGTGGCTTTCCTACCCTTTAAGAATTCTTATCCACAACAACATGCAAGGCCGTACCCAATACTCTCTTCTCTTCTCTTCAAAAAAAGACAACTCCCGTATTAGGAATATATCCTGTGTCGCTGGGGACTTTAAAAACATACATGAAACGGACCCAGAGAACACCCAGACTCAGAACTACAATTTGTGGATCACACAAAGTGTCGTCCCATGTGGGGATCGGACCCACAACACTCAGCGTAGTAGACAACTAATATGATTTTCACAAATGTTTAACGCAAATCGTGGTCGAAATTTATTCCATTATTGTTCCAGATTTCTATGCATTTCCGAAATCAATGTCGTTTCTAAACATACATACATTATTTATTCAATCGGCTATTAGGCAAACAGGAATATCCGTTATTCATAGTGTACCGCTTACTGCTCCATTTTCTTTACTGTATCGAAATAGACTGCGTCACAATTAATTATGACATTCTTGGGTATTTTTAATAGTTGTCGTCTACCATATATATTTACCTATATATTTGAAAATGATGAGAAAAAACTTGTCATATCACATCATCACATCAACAGCCTTTAATAGTCCACTGCTGGACATAAGACTCTCCTTAGAAAGGAGGTTTTGGCCTACTATACCATGCTGGCCAGACGGATTGGTATATTGGGTTTGTGTCAAGTTTTCCTTCTTTTTGCAGTGCTGGTGTCTTGCGTTGTTTATCGCCCTTGGTCGGCTCTTACGACACCCACGGGATGAATAGGGGTGGTGACACTCTGTATTCTTAATCCATCACCACACGGATTCAGTTTACCGTTAGCAATCAGCTAAGGCCATGTCAATGTGCCCGTTGTGAGTGTATGAGTTAGTGAAAATAGAATGTACAGCAGCGTGGCGACAAATCGCTAACTGGTGACGTTGTCTACTTAAAATGAACAGAAAAATAAATTAAATAAAAGGAGTGAACCCTATTCTCCTTAGAGTTAAGTTTCGACTTGGCCTTATTTCGGCCTTTATTTTCACAAATACAGAAGAAATCAAAGTAGGTTCCGAAGGGATTTAGGCTTTATTCAGAATCTATTTTGTCTATTTCATATCAATAAACTATATAAGGCTCATAATACTGTATTAAAGGTAATTTACTTTTCTTCCAGTCTCACAGAACACTTCCTGGTGAAAGCCCTAGAAGAACTTAACTCGGCTGAACTGAGACCAGAGCAAACACTACTTGACAAACTGAGACCACTGGAAAGGCGGATGCTGCCGCTCGCTGCAGATATTCTACTAGCCGGAGTTAACCCGGTAAGTTGATCCGCGACTGCGACCTCTTTAAACTACTGGTGCATTAGTTAACCCACCCTCCTCCCTAGCCCCCTCACCTTATTCGTATTTCATACACCAATTTATTTTTTTCTTTGTTCCATCGGACATCGATTACGTTCCTTAGCAGTGTTGGCTTCTTCGACACGGTCGGTCACATAAGTTACCTGCTAAAATCCTTTTTAATTTTACACATTATGGCAACCCAAAATTAAATAGGAGGACAGGTAGATAATGATGATGATGTGTATTAAAAAAACTACGATTTTGTGATACTACTAAAATTTCTAGCAGGGGTTTGTAAAAGTACAGCGAATCACTTCGCAGATTTTACCTAGGGAATTTTACTATTTGTCTTAATGATGGAAAAGAGTTCAGTTTTATTCGGTTTGATTGCATGTGATGCACCTGGTCCTAACCTTTCTATGCGGCATTATTGATCCAGAACATAAGCATTGTACTCAAGTATTAGAAGTGTTATGAAAGAATTTTAAAATAGAATAGATATTTATATATCTAATTACTCGTAGTTAATTTAAGAATAAAGTTCTAAGTATGTTTATTTTTCATTTTTTCCAGCTGGCCCAAACAGCTTTGCATATGTTTTACCAATTGTCTCTTCACGCTGCTCGGCAACAGAGAGCTCACGACGAAGTCCACTGGTCCATTGCCTCGAGGAATGAAGGAGACTCTCCAGAACTGCCGTACGTCGCAGCTTGCGCCCGAGAGGCGATGAGGCTGCATCCAGCTACCGGCGGAGTTGTTAGACGGAATCGGGAACCGATACTGCTAGCTGGTTTTGAAATACCTGCTGGGGTAAGCTATTATTTATTCTCCTAGAGTTTATTCCCTATTATGTATTTGTATGTAATGTATATTTGAGTACAAACACAAAACGCTTTCATGATTTCAAGTTCATTTTTCGTGTGTAACGAAGTTTGAAATATTTGAAAACATCTATTTTAATACTCATACTATAGAGTTGCTGATTTAAGAAATAAAAACAGTCGAGGCCATGATGAAATATAAGTATTATTACATGTCTTTATTCGTGTATTTTATGCCCGTTGCAAAATACTGCAATCTCAGTAATTGTACGAAGGCGGAGCGCCGCCATTTTAACAATATTTATTTTGTAAAATACGTTCCTTCTCTTGTTTTCTTCCTTGTAAGTTAATTTAAAATGATAGCAATATTATTAATCAGTTCTTTGGTTGTTTCCCGTTATATGCATATTATATTATGTACATTAGACGTTCCCCGAAGTTTCACCCGCGTTTGTAATTGCTGTTTGCTCCCGTAATGTTGTTGGCCTATAATATAATGTTACTTAATAAAGAATCTTTCCAAAAAAATGTTTTTTTTTTGTCGGACTAGATGTTTTACACAGAGTTTATAAAATAAACAAAAACTCTTCAGCTTGGTACAAACAGATAAAATATAACATTAATATTCAATAATGGCGATCATTTTTTTTTTTTAATATAAGGATATTGTGTGCCGAATTTTATAAAAATGTATATAAAAATATATCTTATAAGACGTCACAGGTTAGTGTTATAAACTATTTCAATTTTATTTTATTATTGCTTTGATGATTAAAAATTATTAAAAAATTGCGAGTACCTAAAAGCGTGTATAACAATTTTCAGAGTATTTCAAGATATTTTATAAAATGACTTGACGAAAAAAATGAAAGCTCACCGTGCAAACTTTCCACTTTAACAACTAACACTTCAAAGTCGAGTGACAAGCTAAAGTAAATAAGGAAAATAAATAATATTTAGTTTAAAGAAACAACACAATAAGTGTATTTTATGTAAATTTTACTTAAAGTTGTGTTAAAGTCTCAATAAACCCCGCTTTAACTAGCTAAGTAATAAAACTGTTGCAATGCTGAATTTGATTTACACAGTAGAAACTGAGAATTTCGTCCATTCGTGCAACTGACAACCCACGCTACAGCGTGGGTTGTCAGTTGCTAATCTGTGTACTTACTTTTATTTGGGCCCAAAAAACTTTTTCAATACACTACTCGTACAATTTTTCTTTCTCGTATACTATTGCAACTCGTAAATTCCCTTTATTGATAGTTTTTTCAAGTTGTAACAAAATATGCAAGTTGTTTAAACGTTCTTAACTCAATCTAAATTTATTAAATTATGTCTGTACCGACAGATATTTCTTATTCTTTCTCCTAAACCGGTGCCTATATTACTTTTAATTATTTAATCATTAGTCCTACACACGATAAATGTATAGCTTACATGTTCGAAGACTCTATTATTTATATTTAATTAAAACTTGTACATTTTTAATATATATAATATAATATATATAATATAATAATAATATATATATAATGATCACATATATATATATATATATAATGATATTTTTTTAATTTTAATATTTTTATAAAATTATGTTAAAACCCGCTAAAAATATTATTATTATTTTATGCCAAGAATGAAATGTGTGACTAATACGTAGCTTGTTCTTATAGGGTGTACTATGCAATTATTGGCACTTTAAGGATTCTTTGATCAGTCATTGGCACTAACTTTTAATTACCATTTTTTTTCATAAGTATGTAAATATTCGTTAGTTAAAAAGTTTAATAAAAAATTGTTATTTTAAACATTAACATTATAAAAAAAATAGTTTTACTTAATTTACTATCTGTATATATAACAATGTTGCGTTGGTTTGTTGACGCTTCAAAAGCTTAAAAAGTTCTACATCGATTGAATATTTTTTAACACATCAATCCTTAATAATATTCTTTCAAATTAAAAGTGCCAATGAATAATTGGGTGCCAACAATAGTACAGCTTACCCTATATCAACATCAAATTAATCTCGGAGTTCTCAGGGACTTCCTTCCTAGGGTAAACCCGAGTCTCTTGCAATAGACTCACGTGTGACGGAATACCGTATGGTTTTAGTTGATTAGATTCCGCCATATACCATTTCATCGGAGCCCCGTTGAGGTGATGACCCGCGAGGGTTTTCATACGATAAAAAATAACAAATGAATGATGTAACTAAAGTGACAAAATATTTATTCCACAGGTAGACATAGTTCTTGCCCACGGCGTCACAAGCAAATCAGAAAAACAATGGGGTCGCGCAAACGCCTTCGTCCCTGAACGATGGTGCAGTGAAGGCTGGCAGCCGCTGAAAGCTTCTAGAGCACATCCATACGCTTCTAAGCCATTCGGTGAATCATGCCCAGGTAACAACTAATTTGATATGATAACGTGTCAAACGTTTCAGTAAAGTCTTTAGCAATGACTTAATTTGTATTTGACATTCTTTTAAATTCCATACATGCTCCCTGAGAAAAACGAAAATTGTATCCTACCGTTCAATTTCGAAATACTTGTTTTAGATGACGCACAAAATAGCAACTTTAATGAGTAGAACCATACTTTATAGCTTGACAAATAAATGTTACCAATAATTTTGAGGCCACAAGAAACCTCCTTCAGCCAGCATAAATTCACCAATTAGATTTGATGACTACATTTTTTTTTTTTTTTTTTTTTTTCCGGCGCTTTGACATTGAATGGCCAGTTTGAGATACTCAACACTCGGCAACTCAACAATCATACATCACGATCAAAAACATAATTCTGCTTGATAAATAAGAAAAAAACTTTATCCGGACAGACTGTTCCCATATCGCGAACTCTCAAGGTCTCTTTGATTATTTCATTAAAGTTATTTGACTAAATCATTATAAAAATATATTTTCTTTGTAGGTACTGGTGCGGTAGGCAGTATGTTATCTGCACTTACAACTCGAGTTTTGGACAAGTACAGACTCGAATGGCACGGACCCTCGCCTAGCGTAGCGACATCTGGAGTCAACAGACTGCACCCGCCATTCTACTTCGTGCTCCAGAATGCTGCTTGAAATTATTTCTTGTGATATTATCCTTACAAAAATATAAATTAATTAAATAAAAAGTATCTCTATAAAATATGTTTATATAAAGTATACTTTTTATCCATTATTGACGGAAAGAATTCAGAAGTCCTACTTGTTTGGCGAATGCACTAAATTGGATTTAAAAAGAGAACAGTGCGTATGCATCAAGTTTTTAATTTTACCGCCTAAATTCTTAGATGCTTTGTTTCGTAGACAAAGCAAATTAAGAACACAAAATAGTTTTGATACATATTTATTAATCATCATTATATTTTGAAATAGAACAGTCAAGTTATAACTTTATTGAAAGTGCTGATAACACAATTGTTATTATAAAAAAAAGAGTCGAAAAATTGAAAATATTATATTATTATGAATTTTCATTGTTATTAAGTAGGGTTAGGAAAGGAGTATGATTTGTGACGATTAATTTTTTTGGCTGTCATTTTAATGTTTGTTTTGTATGCTATTTCATAATGTCATTTTTTATGTTAATCTTGTAATACTCTAGTATTATTTACTAATAATATTTTCTTATTCCTTTTGTTAATAACTGGACCTTAATGGACTAATGGACATGGGATACCTTACTACTGAGTAAGATAAATTCGAACGAAAATATTATCGAATTTTTCTATAAGATTGTATTACACCTAACCAATAATTTTAGGTTTTTGTGGGACGAATGTAAAAGTTAAAAAGTGTTTTTCATAGCTAAGTAACTGTTTTTATTTTTTCTAATAAACTCACTTCGTTTGAACGTGTGTCATAAGAACAGAGGATAAGTGCGAGTTTTTGTCACACTAGCTGAGACCCGCGGTGTTATTATAACCGCGGGCAACGCCGCGGGGTGATGCTAGTCTAAAATAAAGTAGCCTAAGTTACTCCTTATGTCATCAGCTATCTGCCAGTGAAAGTCCCGTCGAAATCGGTCCAGCCGTTCCAGAGATTACCCGGAACAAACAGACAGACAGACAGACAAAATTTAAAAAAAAATGTTATTTTGGCATATGTACCGTGTAAACATACATATATATGCATTTAGTAAAAAGCGGTTATTTTAATATTACAAACAGACACTCAAATGTTGTTTATTTGTATAGATGTATAGATCAACTCGCTCTCGATAGAGAGCGCGTTCGGCGTTGCGATTGGTTAAGATTTAAGTACGGGCACATCGTAGCGCCGAACGAGTAGATGTGGAATAAACTCGCACTTGGCACTCAGAAAGCGATGTTTGGATTCTGGATTTTAGTTATTGCATTTCTCTCCAAAGAAAAATCTGTTTAACATATGAATACCGGTTAAAGCATTTGTAGTTATGACTGTATAATTAACGAAGTGTTTGATTTCCAGAGACAAAAGTAACGATTTTTCTGACTTTATCATTTAGTCTAAAAAGTCTATACTTTTTTTTTAATTAATACAAAAAGAAAGTAGGCACTTAACACTTAACAAACGATAATCAGGCGTTTGTAATATGAGTTCGTTTGTAAACAAACACTTGATTCTAGTCTCTTTTGCACTCGTCTCAAAATTAAAGTGTAACGGTTTATTTAACTTGTCTTAATTAGTAATAATATATAAAAAACAATTACTTGAATTAAAAAATATCTCAACATTTTTACTTATTTCATTTTATCATTACCCTTTACAGAAATTTCTGGAAAACTGTTAGTTTCACATGACTGCCAAAAAAACATTCTTTTTTTAAATTGCATTATATATGCAATATATATATATATGTGCATATATATATGCATTGCATAGGATTCTATTGAAAAAAAGTCAAAAGACAATTTTTTTATGCTTTTAACTGGTTTTTATTTTATTTGAATTAAACAAAAAATCTCTTTGGATGTTTTTATTACTATATTATACCAGTTCACGAAACATTGACTACCACTTTTTTAAAGTTTTTTTAAAGAGTTATGAAGCTGGACTAGTGCTGGTTGATAATATGCAAGTTAAGTTTTTAAATTGTGTATTTTTTTTACTGTGTGTGCTGTTGTGTAAATAAGGAGTTCAATTGTATTAATAAAAACCTCTTTGCAAGCATGAAAATTAAGTATTTTTATGTATTAATGTCACAAAGAGAGACACTTTGTTACGGTGCATAGAATAACTCGAGATCGCTCGCCATCCGGGCGTCGTACCTAATGTCCTACTCCTGTAACCTAATGTTTTGCTCTAAAGAACTGGGATGTTTATGTGAAGTGACAATTTAATGCCGTAAATGCTTTAAATAACCCATTATCATCCGGTATACCTTGAGCTTCCTTGCAAAACTGCCAATATGTTATTTTTTTCAAAAGCAAACCTTTACAAAAAATAGTTGAGACAAATTTTAATATTATTTAACCATGTTGGTACCTACTTGTAGGTCTAACTGTTCAGTTATGTTACATATTGTATTTAGAACAACATCAATAAAGTATTAATACTTCTTATACACACAATTATTTGTCCTGGGTGGGCATCGAACCCACGACCTCCGGCTAAGCAGTCAGGGTCATTAATCAGTAGACCAACAGGCCCGTTTCATTATACTTATTTAATAATATAAACTATTTCTATTCTATTTATTTATATGTAACTATTTTTATTACAAATGAATGTGAAATTTATAATACTTTTTTAATGGTTAAATACTAATAAATATGTGTTACAAAGTTGAAAACGATGTAACATGGCTACACGAACTAACAGAGATCTAGTTTTTATTGTGACCTGTCATCTTCCAAAAGAGTTGAAAATTACAGTTTTTTTTACCCTTAAAAAAGACAACTGCCGCATTAGGAATATATCCTGTGTCGCGGGAGACTTTACAAACATACATAAAACGGACACAGAGAACTGGCAGACTCAAAACAACAATTTGTGGATCACACTAAGTGTCGTCCCATGTAGGGATTGGACCCACAACACTCAGTTACTACTACTACTAGTAAGCGCCATCTATGCAGTCAAATTCAAGTTTTATGCCAATTAAATATAAAATCAGACATTAAGAACGATCGCAGTTGAGCGCCGTACGATTTCTAGTTTACATTATATCTTGGAAACCTTGTGTTTATTGTTCGAATGAAGATTAAATAAGATTGATGATAACATAATTATTATTGATGTAATGTTTCTGAAGACTGAAATGTTACGAGAATAATGAGTTACTGACTTAGCGCGTACTTAATTAATTTAAGATTGTAGCCTGTTTTAGAAAATTGAAATAAAAAGTAAAAGTAAGGTAGTATAGGTGTGGTTTGTTTTGGTGTAATAAAATGAAGTGAAACAATTTGGTAATTGAATATAATAGGTATACAAGTCCCAAGGATTCCAGGAAGGAAGTCTGGACCAGACTCGTAATAAGCAAACTATGTAGGTACGTAATATTTTATATGTGAAAGCTTATTATTAGCAAGTTAAGTGTTACACAGCTGTCTGTACATATTAGTCTATAACATTAACACATCAACAGCCTTTAATTGCCCACTGCTGGGCATAGGACTCTCCTTCGAAAGAAGGTTTTGGCTCGTATTAGTCTATAAGCTTTCCTCAAATAATTAAAAAAAATTAGTACCTATTTAAGATAAATTATACCTGGAAAGTATAAATGATGGTGCACATTCCACAATTATTTGTCCTGGGTGGGGAATCGAACCCACGATCTCTAGCTCAGAAGCTATATTAGCCGACTACAAAAGAAGGTCACTTCGGTCTCGTTAGACGATCTCACGAATCCACGATTAAGACGACCAACTTTTTATTTTTATTTTTGTCATGTATCGTATTCGTTGTAATTTGCACTGCTTGTTGCTACGTCCAGGTGGGCTCTTGATTGACGTTGTTCTTTATAAAATATGTAACAATTAAAACTGAACTAACATATATTAGTAGAAACTGACATTGTTAAAATAAAAAAAAGGTCGGGTGTTGAAAAAAAAAATCACAGTGTCAGTTTTGCAAAGAAGCTCAAGGTGTACCGGACGATACTGAGTTATTTGAAGCATTTACGATATTAAATTGTCACTTAACGTAAACATCCCAGTTCTTTACAGTAAAACATTAGGTAAATAGGTATTCAGGTATATAGCAACCCAACTAATCTTATAAACAGAATGTGAAAGACAACATCAAAGCAACGTGACACAACCTTTCTTTATAAAATAAAGCATTTCTCTACAAAAGAAGGGTGAGCCATCAAAATCTCTCTTAGTAGGCGATCCAGTGACGTCATTAATCACAAAACTGCGCTTTAATGGATGACGAGCTTTCTCGTCGTAAACACGATCTGGTTTAGACGACAAGTAAATTGGATGAGGCGGTTGAATTTGCAAGATGGACGAGATTGAATGACGCTTGTATGCGGCAAGATGGCGGAATCAAAAATGGAATGTTATCCATCTGACTGTTATTTTTATTTGACTCGCATTGCAAGTCGCACTCGCAATATAAATGATTTATAAGCAACATAGTTGAACTAAATAACAAAAATATGCTGAGAAGTTAGGTCATCTATGACAAGATGACAAGGACAATATGGTTGACATAATATAGAAGCCAACAGTCGAACACAACTCAACAACAACTCAATTTTTATTCGACGGTTTTAAAGCTGACAATCTATATAGATATATTAGTATAATAATACAATAACAACATACAACAATAATCTAATACTAGGAAGTTGTGTTAGGTTTAATGAGCGGCGTCCCGCGTCCACACAACACAACGTTCCGCGAGCACCATAGGTCACAGTATTTGCACACTCTGCACACCCGTTCCCGGCGGCCCTGACAATCATCTATCAAATATAAATTATGCAGAGCCTGTGCCATGGTAATTAGACTGCGTGTAAACATACTTTACGTATATATTACTTACATATTATAGATAAATTACACATAGACACAATCAATGGGTGGCAATTCGACCACGAGTGGTGGTATTATTTATTTTTAACATTTATTTAGCACATGGGGCGTGCG